ATTTTGAGATACGCCTCTACTTTTGATATGTGTGGTTAAGACCTCAGAGCTATATGTTGCGCGTAACAGATCGGAAATTAATTTTAACTATACATCTAGACTACAAATTAATTATAGCAGTTACGTTTATCAACTATTCTAGTCCTCGAGCAATGCTTTGCCTCACATCCATTGTGTAATCCTATATTAAACAAATACTGGATGATCAGGAGCTTGATATGACAGAATACCTATTCGATAAACAAATATTGGGCGAGGCGTTAACTGAGAAAGTTTATCGGTCCCCAGTCCAGTTTCGTTTGAAAGGCCTGTCTTCTGACATAATGCAACAGAAAAAAGAATACTATACTAAGCCAATTACGCATCGATTGCCACATATAAGATAACTTGACACAAGAGGGGGGAAGTCCAAGAGCTGTAGCGATGACTGACATAATACGTCTCTTGCGTACCACCTTCGTTTGCGCAAATTCTCACCAGTTGATTTTCGAACATAACGCGTCGTCGTGATATTTTAATCGATGTAAACATATTTCTTAAGGATATACCAGTGTAACCTTCGAAAAAATCGACCATTTTCAATCTCAACGAAACTAGGTTTTCATTATAGACCTAGATATAGCGATTCGAAAATGTAATAAAAAGGTAGGTCAACGGATTCGTTTTCTCATAAGAAGCTTCTGAAAATAGGTATGACGTTATCATCATTTGAACATTTGAGGCGCCATTGATTTCAAAGCAAAAAACATACTTTTCTATATTTCTTCGATAAAATGATGATTTAGAGAGTATTGACGATTTTTGTCGAGCTTGGATAAATTTTCTTTATACATAATTACGTTGGTTCGAATATTGGTACACTCGGGACATTTTTTCTTACTTTTTTCACTTAAAGTGTTACCCCTACCCCAACAGTATTTGTGAAATTTTGTACCGTTTTTCCATCAAAAATATATCTTTTTCATTTTCGCATTTTGACACGTTTTGAATCGAAAATTACGCAAATTTCCAATGGATTGTGGTATTTTTTTATTTGCTTATTCTAAAAAGGTTCTCATGTTTATCTTGATATAAATAAACATAGGGTCAACGGTCTGTTTTAAAATGCCGTTGAAGATTAGTGTGCTTTAACAATGATACAAAAGCCACTGATCAATTCGCGTCATAATTTCACTAAATATATGACGTCTTTCTCAAGAATTTACAAAATCGACTGCTCACAAAAACATAAACTAGCTAAGTCCACGTGATCAACATCATTCCAAAATATTATAAATTATGGATAAATTGAGGGCTAGATGCCCCAGTTAGACATTCATTCAATAAACGATGATTTAAAATGGCTAATAATAGCCATATTTGACTCCTATTCTAATATGCTAATATTTCTGTTCATTTTTCGGGAAAGGATAACGTTACATTTGTCCATGGGGCACGATGGGGCAATGTCATCAAGGTCCCATGGGACTTCGTGGGATTCGATGGGGCAAATTGGGATTCGATGGGGCAAGATGGGACTCGACGGGGCAAGTGGGATTTTGCCCCATTGGTGTATACCGGGCTTTACATATTTCTTTATCTTGGTGTGAAAAACCAAGCTATGATATTGGTTAATTCGCCAGGAATCAACGTAATATTATTCGAAGCGTTATTAGAAAATTTTGAATCCGCCATTTTTGTTTATCGATTTGTATCAATCAGAGGTGTATGTCATCTCAATACAGGTTTACATAGTAGCCTGGCCAGAACAAGTCATGCCTCTCTATTTTCTCAATAACTTTCTCAATTTTGAATATTTTTTCATGAACTTTTCACAGAATAAACTTTAAAGAATTTCTAACATACAAATTTTTTATATGGTAAATGCCTCATTAATTTCATTGTTACAACCTTTTAAAAAAATAATGTCATATTCTGTTGATGGGTAATTTTTGTCGCCATTTTTCTAAAAAGAAACAAAAAAATCTAAATTACGTTTTTTCCCAATATGGTCTACAAATTTGATTGCAGTCTTTGATAGGGGATCATTTATCTTTTTTAGTGTTCTAAATCCACCATACTATTTCAAGACGTCATGATCTCAAGCCTCTATACTGCTCGTCCCATAAAAGGCATTACTACTCGCCTATTGTCATACTTGATGGAGATAAAAGATGCTTTCAAATGGCGACAAAAATGACCCATCAACAGAATATGACATTATTTTTTAAAAGGTTGTAACAATGATATTAATGAGGCATTTACCATATAAAACAATTTGTATGTTAGGAATTCTTTAAAGTTTATTCTGTGAAAATTTCATGAAAAAATATTCAAAATTGAGAAAGTTATTGAGAGAATAGAGAGGCATGACTTGTTCTGGCCAGGCTACTTATAAGCGTATGTCATCTTTGAACTCTGGGGTTAATCCCCCCCCCCCCCCATTTATTGTTACTTGACACATTGCTGATTTTATCACCTCACATAATGGTCATGATTGCTCAGTCGTACATGCCAATTACACAATGATCTAGGTACCGTTTGATGGAGGACAAATTAAGCTTTTTACAGCTACCTTTGTATTTTTAAAAAATTGCTCAGGGTCTGGTAATTTTGTTTTGAAGTTGGGTATACTTTTTTGTGGACGCCATGGAGTGTAAAATATTTTCACCTAACAACTCGGACATTTTCAGCGGACAAGCCCGGATACTGGAGACCTTAAGCTAGCGATGTTTTTCACAACGTAACCGTGAATGCAAAGTCAAAAAATCAATACAGTAATGTGTACACCACGCATACAAAACAGGCGCTACTTACACTTCAGATTACCGATCAGCTTCAGTTTCTTGTTTAGAACGGGAGATTTGCAATTTGCAAAGTCTTCATTTTCCTATTTTGTCCGTTTGTTCGTTTTGTCCGAGTTTGTCCGCTTATGTCCGGTGAAAATAATGAGAATGTCAATGCTTTTCCCAAGACAACTCCGGACAACTCAGAAGCATTAAGTCCCGTGATGTTCATTTCATATGACCATTTTGAACAAAACAGGACATTATCGGACAAAACAGGACAACCTCGGACAACGGCGAACATACTTAGACAAAACGGACAAAGTCGACAATGTTCGGCAACCGTATGCTTAGCTGCAAGTTATGGCGCCATTTAGAATTCAAGAGAAAGGCGCAATTGTTGATCGTGTGACGATACAGAGTATGCCCCGGAACTGAACTTCTAACGTGTTTCCTGACTGTTAAACATAAACAAACATATATGTTTAGTCACATGGCTAGACGTCAGAATTATGTTCTGATATTTATTGTTTTATTGAGGATACATCTGATATTAGCAAGCCTAATAACCAGTGAAAACGTACCGTGACAAAATATATGCCGTCGTACAGTTTAGATGTACGTTGTCAAATATTCAAGTAAACTCACCGATTTGAAGAAAGAACTATGAAATAGGTTTTGAAAAATTATCAGAGGAATACCTTTGTATGTATTTCATGTTTAATTCCAGGTGCATGCTCTTTGCAAGACGTTTAACTTTCTAATTACGTTAGCTTATTCTCGGTCAGCGCTCAAGTTGTTTTGTTGCTTTTATTCACTGGCTCTGGTAGGCGAAATGCTTGAAATGGGTGCAAAAAGGCCGAATAACTTGAAATGGTTACAATGCTCGAAATGAAGCAAACATTAAAACGGAGGAAATCATACATGCATTGATATGATAGCACTGATTGAAACGATTGAAACGTAATTTGCAATGTATACAGGGCTTCAGCTACACAATTCAGGTTGGTTAAAGATTTAACAAATGTTTACGTTTTGACACTACATGTTTTTTAAAATCAGAAGTGTACGTTGTCAACTCGGTTGTACGTTGGACCTTACATCCCATGGTCCCCAAATCACATTTACCGTATCTTTAACACCAACTGTACAAAGGATACTTGAAACATGTTCAATAAACATCACTTGTGAGTCATCACGAACTCCAAATGGATTTTTGAAATAAAAATTTGTTTTACATCACAAAGTTTCAATTACACAACTTACAGTCAAGTTGACAAAGTACAGTTTCGATTTTTAAAATTATACCAAATACTAAATAATTATTAAATCTTGAGAAAAAAACATATTCTCATAAATACAATCGACACTCTTAGAAGACAGGGGAGAAAATGATCAAAGGAAATGTGAAAAACAACATTTCCCAACCAATCAATTATCTGGGTAGATTTACTACAAGACAATCAGCACTGCTCAAGCATCTTTTAACGTAATAAGAATGTTAAAAGTCTTTCGAAGAGAATACACATGAAATTGAACGTTAAACGAAATGAAATTAAACGTGAAATCCTTTATGTATTCCTCAGATTATTTTTTAAAACCTATCTACATTATAGTTTCGGCTTCAAATCTGTTAACATTGACAACGTACATCTTAAGTGTACGACGGTAGTTTTGTCGATGGTAAGGCGTGTTAAATGGACAATAAATCCGATATTAAGACGACCGAAAAGTATTTTAAATAATATCCTCGATTTGATCCTGGATGGAGAAACTCTGCCAAAGTTTAAAAGTCACAATTACATTCTGGGTATGCATCCGGATGATAGTCTAAGCTTTGCTATATACTTGCAGAACCCAATGAACCTAACAAAATGATAAATCAACTCGGAGCATTGAGTCATAAACTTAAAAGTAAACATCTAACCGGAATAGTTTAATCATTTTTTGAACGGCTGGTTGACATTCTACCAGATCGCAACAGTGTTACGCTTTTCAGCCTTGATGATGCTATTTTCTTACTTTTACTCTTCTGCAATATATGTTCTGTAATGTGTATATACATGTATTAATTGTTTTGCTCTCCAATTAAACGGAGGAAATAAAGAAACAGCATAACATATGGTATAACATCATATTAACACTTGTCCGCCTATCATTAAAACAGGACATTGAAAATCTAGTCTATTTGAATACCATGTTTCATTGTACGAATCCTGTGTTTTTTAAGGTGCGGACAAGAAACCAAGAGAAACTCCTGACAGAGTATTGGTAATCTACGCCTACACTGAAATTTCTGATTGGAAACATGATATAAGGAAAAACAATTTGCAATTTTTCATTGATTTCGCAATAAACGGTAAACACCAAGGTAGCGATGTTGATTACGTCTTTGTTGTAAATGGATACAACAATAGTATTGATATCCCTGCATACAACAACACATACGTGATCGTTCGGGAAAACACTGGCTTTGACGCATGCGCATGGAAGGAAGCTCTGCTTCAGATGAAAAAGTTGAAAGGAGAATATTGGTATAAATTCTTCGTGCTATTAAATGCATCTGTTAGAGGACCTTTTATACCTCCTTACGCTAATGATAAACATTGGATTACCTACTTTACGAAATATCTAAACGATGACACAAAATTAGTGGGTACGAGCATTTGCTGTTCAAAGAAGCATCCCGTACATCTCCAATCCATGTTTCTCGTCACAAGCATTTCGGGATTAAGAATCCTGGAACAAGATGTCCTCAGATGCTACAAGAAAAAAATTTCAGTTATTGAAAATGTCGAAAAAAAGTCGTCACAGGTTTTTCTAAAAAGAGGCTTTAATATTGTGTCACTTTTGAAACAATGGGAAGACCACGATTTTCGAGACAAGAATTTGACTGATGAAATGTGTAAAAAGCACAACAAGAAAAAAGGAGATCCATATATTCCAAATACATATTATAATAACATTGATATTTCTCCATTCGAAGTCATATTTTTCAAAAACAACAAAGGTGCGAATCAGAAAACACATGATGCATACACACAAATGATGTTGGAATGGAAACAAAAGTATTCAAGCCAAAAATCAGTGGGTTATATTACAACCGATTCTAGGAATTACATCCACTTGTGATTTTGTATTTTCATCGGAATCATCAGTCAGGCTCAGTAAATGCATGAGTTACAATGAACAATTCATTTGATTTTCAATATTTACTGAGAATGGTGCCATGGTTGAATTGAACTTTTTGTCGATTATTTTCAATAAAACTATAACCAAACGTGTAAATGATAATTTTGGTCTTCTGTCATGTATTGGTGAGGCAATCATGAATAAGACCCTGCAAATGTGAGATGATGCAAGTATATCGCTTAAATTTACATTTGGTGGTGTTTGGAAAGATACAAGGAGTAAGAAATACTCAGCACATATAAACAGAGACATTACAGAGACAACACTCGCTGCATATATGGAACACTCTGTATATTCAGGTATTGCTTCTCTTAAGAATACTCAAATATATGCAAACGCAATACTTTGTAAGTGTGCAATATATTCACACATTATAATTGCTTCTTTCTGACTATATCAAGCTATTTCTAAGTTATACTGCTCATTTTATAATTGAGCATACAAATAAAAAACAGACTATTTGTGCGTATTTTTCTTTTAATCATGATAAAACAATAGTTAGATATATATAGCAATTAACACTGGTTATATTTGCATATGATCTGCATATATGCCATTTTTCATGAGTATTCCTGCATATTTTGGGATAAGTAATATGCAGCATGTGATTATATTGAGACATGCACGAGAATATAAACTAACTACATTAGCATATATGGAGTCAAGATCGGTATATTTGACATTCCTTTATGATCATATGCAGCACATGATATGCATATTTTTGCTTATTCAGGAGGACTGCTGGTAGACGCTGTTTTGTGATTGGGCATCGACCCAGGCATTGTACATAAACAGCTTTTACGTTTTTTTATAATTTATTTAACATTTATTTAGATGTGTTTGTACAGAGTAGGCCAAAGAAACGACCTCTACAAGTAATAACTTCAAATAGATAAACAAAATTGTATACATCGGGAAACGAAAAACATTTTCAAAAGCAATGATATGATGTTCAATACTAAAAAAATATGATGAAACATTTTGATGGATATTAATAGGATAATTATGTTTTGGCCAAACCTGTAAACTGCTAAAAAATATATTTACATTGCATTGTACATGATGTAACATTATATTTCTATCTATAAAATGGTGCGAACTTATGCTCTTAATCAATGTATGCATATTGCTCGATCTTGAAAACTGTGTTTTTTGTAGTTAGATCTTCTGGTCGCAAATTCTCGTACAATACTGAATTCTGCATTTTCCATTCAAACTCCTTTCTTCTACAAGTTTCTCAATATCTATGTAAATTCAGCTATCACATGACTTCTATTTTGCGAGAAATTTGTCACTGCACACAAATACACTGCTCTGCAGACACTGCTCTGAAAATACATAGACACTGCTGTGTATTTTAAACAATGATACAAAGACACCAGTTTATAGCATACTGTTCAGCCATACAGTATAATGGACCTTCCAAGACAATCAATTAATTAAATTATCAAGATCGATGCAAAGTCTTATATTTACAACAATTTGCCATGTGTCTTTATTGTGTTTTTTATTCATCGAACCTACTTATATCAAAACTCAATCATCTATCTATTAAGGGAAATAAAAAGAGAAATACAAAGCAAGCTAAACTTTCACTTACGAGAGGCTTCATCGTGTTCCTGGGTCTGGCGTGGAGCAAACGACTGTCTGGCTAAATTGCGCCAATGTGTAGACATTTTCACAGTATGGCTTTATATTTAGTGACTACTCGTAGAGCAAGCAAAGCAAAGCAAAATGTCAACCACCTTTGTGCGTGTCACGTACGATCATTACTTGTGCATTATAGCTTGGAGACATGCAGCTTGCTCAATATCCACCCTCCCATCATCTTCAGTTATTCAATAACACTACATATTGTTAAAACTCGAAAGACTAAATTCTGCACCATTTTGCTGCTATATTGAACAGTCATAATGCTGTATTGATGAACCCATGATTTGACATCTCTAATAACTAATCTAAACATAAACAGTGCTAATTACCTGACACAATTGCACAATTGTGGCCGGACGTTTGGAGAAGCATTCCTGATTTGTATAGAATTACCTTTTCATTCTTGGCATTCAAAATACAATAATAATTCACTTTTTGATGTAATTTTTGATGTTTTTATCTCAAATAATAAGCTTATTCATAGGATTAAATCTGAATGACATTCTGGTGATTTAAAAAATTGTATTAATCTTGGACACCATCCCGACATAATATCTCTTTAATAATCTGCAATCAAGAAATTGATAGACATACTTTAATCAGATAAATGGATTATTTAGTTGTTAAGATTACTGAAAAAGTGTTTGTTGGAACCCTTGTTGAATATTTGTGTAGGCCTTGATATATACCGTTTCGACACCGTTCCGGTGTAAAAGAAATGATGGTCCCCTGGGGATTATGGTCCCCTTTCTTAAAGGCCCTTACTGGCCCTGATTGTGGATACGATAATAAGGGAAAGAGTTGTATTTAGGTCACCATATAAATCAATGGAAAGTAGGACCATAATTTGATAGGACCTCCTACCCTTTTACACCGGCACCGAAACCTTTCCACACCAAAATTTGCTACCGGACTAGTCAGTCCATTTGGTGCCGAAACGGCACCGAAATTTGGCACCGAAACGGCGTCGAAAATCATTGCATTTTGGGGGTGGTAGGTCACATTTGCTGCGATTCATCGGCCTGTTTGAGTATTTTGTTCCAAACTGAAATATGTGTTGCAATCAAATGTTTCGAAAGCCATTTACCATTTATGCTCTTTTCAGACATTCAATCAATTTAAATCAAAACGCTTTTTGACATCTCATATCACCAGTCTCGAAAAAATCAAAGAACAATTGTTGAAGGACAAAAACCTATACGCAATAGTATGGTAGCGATGGCCAATTTAACAACCCCCGAATTGACAACTTAGTATCTGTTATGGCAAAGAATGAAGAGATTATTTATGAGGCATTGTCATATGCTTCTATTCAAATCTCTAATACCAGACAGGATCTTAATATGAGCCTGGCCATAGGAAAACATGTCTTATCACAAAAATGAGAATTGTGCTACAGAGCCAAAAATGTGCCCAAGATTAAGAGGAAAATGTGTTCAATTCAAATCCGACTTTTTTGTCTATATACAGGGTGTCTCAAAAAAATGTACCCAAAAGTATATCAAGAGCACAGCTAAACCAATCAATATTTTCAGACATTTTTCGCATGGTCATGTAGCCAAAACATGAAAGTTTTCTCCCCAATACACCATTTTTATTTCAGTCTTGACTTTTTGATGATTTAACCCTTTACCTTTTACACCACATAATCAATGTAACCTCATATTTTGATGACAGCCTGTATCCTTACTGCTACATTGTTCATCACATTTGATAATAATTCTGGTAGAATGTTTTAGATTTCTCTTTGGATGTTGCCCTTAAGTTGTTCTAGGTCTTTTTGCTTGGAATGAACATTAAAACACTCCTTCAAATAGCCACAGAGAAAGATGTTTGAGGATGACGATGGCAGAACAACCACAGATAATCAGGTCAATTATCGTCAAATGATTCAGGAGTTACCTTCCAGAGTTAGGTAGGCTAGCCTGGAGACCAAATCATATCCAAATGAAAACACAGTGGTCTCAAATTGAAAAACAAACAAAAGCTACATTAGAATCCCAAGCAATGCAGTTTCTTGAACCTCTGACCTCTCTGTATAAGGGGCTACAAGACATCGTGAGGGCCTCCCTATTCACCATATTTGACGGCCTATACTTTTTTCTCTGAGGCTATTTGAAGGACCATTTGTATGCTAAACCCAAGCTAAGAGACCTAGAACAACTTAAGACCAGCATCCGAACAGAAATCAAAACATTCCACCAGATATATCAAATGTGATAAACAATGTAGTAGAAAGGATGCAGACTGTCATCAAAATACGAGGTTACATTGAAAATGTGGTGTAAAAGGTTACGGGTTAAAGTATCAAAATGGCAAAACTGAATTAAAAACTGTGTATAGGGGAAAAACTTTTATCTTTTATCTACAAGACCATGCAAAAACTGTCTGAAAATATTGATTGGTTTGTCTATGGTGTTGATATACTTTTGGGTACATTTTTTTGAGACACCCTATATATGCAAAGAAAAATTGTTAAGACATAAGCCATGGCTCATTTGAAAGGTCTCGTTGTGCTTTCTAAGATAAACAAAAAATCAGAATATTGGAAAGATCTGTGATAAGATCCCTTTTCCTGTGGCCTGGCTCATATACTGAACACACATGTGAGACAACTTAGAAAAGTTCTATTTTTAGCTACACCGGGCAATTCATATTCGATCACAGCAATTCACTGAAATAGAGAGTTCTTATTTATCTGGAATGACTCAAATGCTACAGGGGAGACTTCCATTTACATTCTTTGCGCCGAAAGAATTAAAAGGGATATTAGAAATGTTTACATTACAGTTAGTTACAAATCTAGGTGCAGAGTGGGAGTTAAACTATGATCCTCTTGACAAATAGTATAGATCAATGACTATGACTAAAAGGGCTTTGTATATTACAATGGAATTTCCTTTTAGAAGACGACACGGTGTTTTAATTTAAATAAGATAAAAACCAATCCTGTGTCTATCAGTACAACCAAATCCGCCATTATCCTGAGAAATGATTTTGATTATGTGGGATTGATGATCAGATGGGGATGTACATTACGTTGTCTACTTCTAAATTTGCAAAATGCAAATGGGAAGTAGAAAGCTGTGTTTCTGGGAAGGTTGGTTAAAGCTGCACAATCTTGCAATATTGATGTGATTTTGGGAGAGATACAGGATGGGGTTTCTATAATCAACGGCTATGTCTTAATGCAAAACTTCACAGGAAAGATTGCAATGACTTGTAAGGATGAATCAGAATTTAGGCATTTATGTGACACTCCATCATGTATTGTCCAATTACCCTTTCGGTGTCATTTAAGATCAGAAAATCAAATAGTTCATTATGCTCCAGGAATGTCCAGAGCAGAAAATTATTAATCCTGGGGTGAAAAATGTAGCATTTTTAGCGAAATTTCATTCAACATTGATAGAGTGGAATTTTGGAGACTCTGACATTGAAAAATGTGCATACCCCTTAATTGACCCATATCTGAACCTCTATCTGACCTTGATATGCTCTAACCCTCTTGGGTCTAAATTTTACAATTTGTCATTGCTGCCATAATATTAATAGCATTAATTGGCTTGGCTATTAATTTGTTGAAGCAAGGGAAAGTGCTTTTGAAATTGGGGTCTGCCTTTATTTCAAGGAGTTTTCGTCCTTAGCCCACAACTGAGAATGGAATTGTGTGAACAGTAATAATTATGCAACTATAATGGGACCTCACTTAATATGATTGAGCAATCATTCAGATTTTTATATATACAGGGTGGTTCAAAAAAAATTGGAACATTTATTAATTGAACGCAAAACCTTTATTTTTCCTCTAAAATGCACCGAAATTTTAGTGAGCATAGGTCAGTCACTTATTTATCTGAAGTAACGTTTATAGGTGAAAACCACAAAGTTAATGCATTAAAATAGCCAATGTTTCATAGGACCCCCTTTTCTTAAATATACACTTGTCAATTTTCCGCTACTTTTTCAAGTATTCTTTATTTCAAAGCTTTAATGAATATGTTAATTGCTATACACATTTTATAAAATCATACTCAGTTGACAAGAGGTATTTATATCTATGGTTTACTAGAAAACTCTGTGTTATTGTCAACTAAAGAATACCTGTCATGTGAAACAAACATGAGCCTTTAATTTAGTTTCATAAGTCACTGATAGGTGTCTCTAGTTGTATTGTATTGGATGACGTCACGAATAGCTTCTCAATAAAGTTGTACTCTCTCTAAGTCAATTGCTCCTGTTTTGTCTATTATCTATTATCTATTATATCAACGGACATGGTGGCAGTGGAAACGTTATTAACACGTTGTATTGGAAGCGCCAAAGATCATTTTGACACTAAAATCTACAAGATTGATGACTGTTTTGATAGAGAAATCCGGGTGCAGATGTTGAGACTGAAAGAATAAAATTGCTAAATTTTATCCTTCACGTGGAGATCACTATTGCAGTATTGCGCATGTGCAAGATTGACTGTAAACATCCGGTCAAAAAGGAACATTTTCACGGAGACTTGAAATATCCTGTGTGGAACATATATCCTGTGTGGAATACAAATATCCTGTGTGGAACAAAAATCCTATGTGGAGAATATATATCCTGTGTGGAACAAATATCCTGTGTGGAAATTTCGTGGAAATATTGTGTAACTATTTTGATAAGCTATTGAGTCATTACAAACTGTGTGAGTACCGTTTGAATACATTTTGCATGATAATTGATATCTTATGTACATTTACTGGGTGACTTCATCCTGTGTGGATATTATACGTACATAAACGACAATTACTGTGTGATTACATCCTGTGTGGATATATTATCTGATATCTGATGATTGCTGTGTGAACTATATTGTATACATAGACTATGGCTAAATTTCATCCTCCCGATAAGTTTGCTTTTGATAAGCCAAACGATTGGCCTGAATGGAAGACACAATTCCTGAGATTT